GAAGGGGCTGGCCAGACAGAGGCCCGGGAAAGGCTCCAGTGGTGGTGGCAGGCGGGAGGATGCAGAGGCCGGACTCTAGTCCAACATCTTCCCTGACACCCACCTAACCCTTGCAACCACGGCCTGGGGTGAGGCGAGTAAAGCGAGTCACTCCAGTGTGGAGTGGGGGGGCGGATACTGAACTGACTTACAGTTTTGATGTTATATTTATTACGGGATTTTTCTGCATTACGATGTGAAAAAAGATTGCATTAAATATTATTTTGATGACGAGTTTTGGGGTCCTCCCTTAAATTTAAAAAAAAAATTTTTTTTTTTTCAACGTTTATTTTTTTTGGGACAGAGAGAGACAGAGCATGAACGGGGGATGGGCAGAGAGAGAGGGACACAGAATCGAAACAGGCTCCAGGCTGGCTCTGAGCCATCAAAATGAGCCCGGCGTGGCTCAACTCACGGACTGCCAGAGGACCTGGCTGGCTGAAGTCGACGCTTTTGAACCACTGGCGCCACCCAGGCGCCCCTCCCTAAATTTTACATGTAACGACAGTGGCTTACTCTGCTCATACTAGTGCCGGCTGTGTTTGATACTCCAGGGAACATTTTTTGGGGGGCGGTGTGTGGAGGAAGTCGGGGGGCGGGGTTCTGGAGTGGGCGTGGCCAGAGCCCTGTGGTTCCAGCCTCACCTGACCAGGTGGGTTGATGTTTGCATAGCGGAGCCCAGTTTTCCAGGCCCTTTCCAAAGTCTTGGATTTATACCCGGGAGGGGTACACTCCCTTCATGAGGACCTGCGTGGCAGTTGGTGGCTTTGTAGCAGTCACAGCTCCTTCAGCTCTTCCACCGGGAACAGCCTCCTGGCAGGTCCTCGCGGGACAAAGCACATTCTTAGAGAGGGTGGTGCAGCCTCCTTTATTACGTTCATACAAAGCGCTCCATCCTGATGGCTACCAATACTAACGTAATTTACATTCAATTCTTACTTCATTATTCCTAAAAGCCCACACACCCTCACATTTGTTTATAACTACACGTGTCATATACCATAGTAGCTACTGCACTGTGTGTGCTAGTTCCATAATGGTGAATAGCCTAATGACTTACCTTGTTTTAAAAAAGTTGTTATAGGGGCGCCTGGGTGGCGCAGTCGGTTAAGCGTCCGACTTCAGCCAGGTCACGATCTCGCGGTCCGTGAGTTCGAGCCCCGCATCGGGCTCTGGGCTGATGGCTCAGAGCCTGGAGCCTGTTTCCGATTCTGTGTCTCCCTCTCTCTCTGCCCCTCCCCCGTTCATGCTCTGTCTCTCTCTGTCCCAAAAATAAATAAACATTGAAAAAAAAATTAAAAAAAAAAAAAGAAAAAAGTTGTTATAAAATAGATAATCACATAAAATCGACCTCACTTTATTGTTTGACCATTTCTCCAGACACATCCTTTGCTTTTCAGTGATTTTACAATATTCCCCGAAATACCCATCCAGATGTTTACTTGTGTTGACAACTAGAGCCAGTTTCTAACAGAAGTACATCTGAATAGTACCTTGGACAGTGAGGACTGGCTTTGCCAATTAGGTTAAACAGTGGGACTCTTCCCTAGATTGAATGATTCAAATCGGCAGTCCCAAGTTTTGGGGGAAAAAAATATAGTTTAAAACACATGAGAAGAGGAAATAATGTTTTTCAAAAAAATTTGTAAAGATGCAAAGATGCACGATGATTACAGATATTTTACTTTTCCCCAATCTTTTATTTTTTTAAATTATTGTTAATATTTATTTATTTTTGAGAGAGAGAGCATGAGCTGGGGAGGGGCAGAGAGAGAGAGGGGGACAGAAGTTCCGAAGCGGACTCCACACTGACAGCAGAGAGCTCGATGCAGCTCGAACTCACAAACGATGAGAACATGACCTGAGCTGAGGTCGGCTGCTGAACTGAGCTACCCAGGCACCCCCAATTTATTCCCAATCTTTTAAATTACATGACACACAAGGGATCTCTTAGTAAGTTCTGTTCAAGTTTCTTGTTGCATATCCCAGAAGCTGGGAAAGTGGATGACAGATGGCTAGGTGACACCTCTGTGCAGGTGGTCCCCTCTCCCCTAGAAGCTGATACTGGGATGGAGCCAGACTGCAGGAGGTTTACAGGGAGAGTGATTGGGACCAACCCCTGTGCAAGGGTTGGGTGGGAAGCAGGATAGGCAGGATGGGCAGAGGGAGGAATCAGCTATAGGGGAGCTTTGCTGTTGAGATGGCCTTTCCCAGTTTCCCCAGGTGGGCTGAGAGGCTGGGCCTTCAGGCCCTCACGTTGATCAGCCTTTAGAGGCCAGCTGCCCAGGGCAGGACCATGGCTCAGCTCCAGGTGGCTCTCTTCATCAAGGTTGCTGACAGATGAGGGCAGGGCTGTTTGCAGGTGCCTTTCCCAGCAGATGCGGCAATAAGCCCTTCATTCTATTCCGATGGTGCATCAAACTGTCTACTGGTTCAAATCCTCTTGAAGTCAGGTGGTTTCCAACTCTTTGCTTTCAAAAAAAAATTAAAAGAATATGAAATAGAGCTGCCAGCTGATAGATCATTGAAAACAATAATTTTTGACAATCAACCACTAATGATTTTTGGCACATAACTAGGAAGGAGCTCAGATCTGTGAGTGAAATTGTATTACAAAACTTCTGTTTATGAGACCAAAGTTTCTTTGAGCTTCATACAAAAATGAAAGCCAGGGGATGCCTGGGTGGTTCAGTCAGTCAAGCTTCTAATTCTTTTTTTTTAAATTTTTAAAAAATGTTTACTTATTTTTGAGAGAGGGAGAGACAGAGCATGAGCAGGGGAGGGGCAGAGAGAAAGGGAGACACAGATCTGAAGCAGGCTCCAGGCTCTGAGCTGTCAGCACAGAGCCCGAAGACGCGGAGCTTGAATACACGAACCGGGAGATCATGACCTGAACTGAAGTCGGATGCTTAACAG